TTGGATGACAAAGTAGCATATATGTTTTTAAATATCATACCGTGACAACCATCAGGGAGGTATGGATTTCCTTGATAACCTCCCGAACATAAACAGCGATACCCCATAACCATCATCGGGTTTGTAACACTTGGAATTTTTGCTTTTACATGCATAACTAGACATGTACTTTAAGCCTCCTCACAAGTTCCATTCCCTATTGCCCAATCAACCACCGTAGGAAGCTTCGTACATTCCTCAGACTGGAAAATTTTCTCGGATAAAACCTGAATTCACTTTCCTCAACAAGAAAACCATAGCTACAATTATTAAGTTTTCATAGCTCTTCAAAGTCACCTCAACTCTCCAAACCTCTTTTGAAATAGGCGTCTGGCAATAGCCTAAACCCGAACACGAGCCGTCCACCAAATCATCCTCGTTATCACACAAGGCAGTGTAACCTGTCTGGTAATTCCTGTTATTCCGACGCCCAGATACAAAATCATAAATATCGCAACCAACAACAGTGAACTTATTCTCTGTATTATTTACCGTAAGGTATACTGTACAGGCAAATTTATGGGAGAACTATACAACACTCTGGTTCCAGTCTGAGAATAACAGTCTTTTGCAATAAATTGCAAGAGGCGTAACTGGCTCTCCAGGGATATATTGGTGATTTATATGGTGGTGTTCTGTACGAATGCCTTGGGAGATTTGTAGATTTCATTACAAGTGACAAAGAAACTTCGGTTAAGGTAACAGTATTCTGTGGTGCCAAAATAGTATTTGGTTTGGATCAACTTATTTGGACTTCTTGATGGCTACTGAATGACAAACTGAGAAGAAGCCTACATATACAGTGCAAAACCTCCTTGACCGATAATCCTACCATCGTGGAAGCTTTTTGTGGCCTTCTTTAGCTCAGCAGAAGTGAATTTTTTGCCGTATCTGGTGACTTCTCTCTTCAGGTAGTTGTTCTTGCAACAATAGTCCACCATTTGATGAAAGAATTTGTGCGTCATCCTGATCAACTTTTATTTTTTGTGGATATCAAGTCCGATAATAGTGATTCCTGGAATATATTTCTGTAGTGTGTCTTAGCTTCAGTATCACTCTCTTATTGTGAAAATAATGTGCTAAAAATTGGAAAACAACATGTGATTAAAAAGGTTATAAGTCATGTATCAATATTCATTCTTCTGAGCAATTTAATATAATGAAACTATAAAACTGAAAGCAGATAGTCATTTTGTACCAGATGGTAACAAGGATTGCATAAGCAATCTCTTTGCCAATCCCAACTGAATCAAACATAGTAATCAAATTTGAATCCACGAAACTTAAAATCAAATAAAGATTAGGTCTAGGCATGTTAGACATATTATCATAATTCAATTCAACGAGTCGTATACTATTATTTGAGTGAAAACTAGAGTCAATTAAACGTCAACCCAACTCCTAATTTTTTTTGGAAGTTGCAATGTCTCTAATTGTATTCCATGTCACCTTATTATTATTATTTTTTTTTTATACCTACAACCTACTCGATTTTAAGAGTGAATTCTACACAATTAATATCAATATATCTCTCTTCTACAATAACTAATTTTTAAAACCACCAAGGAGTCGATTCTAAAAGCAAGGGTGAAATGTGCACGGAGGGGAAGTGGAGAAAGGGAGAGTGAGAAAAGCTAGCTACAGCAATGGAACAATTGGGCCAAGCTGCAACAAGTTTTATTACAGGTGTTTGAACAAGGATGCAACCTCGTCAATCCTTTCTTTCTTAGCCATGATAACCTTTTAGGAAATCACAAATAAAAAAAAAAAAAAAAACCCATGTGTGCCTGTGCTACAAAAAAATTCTGGTTAAACAGACGACCATGCACAAAAGCATTAGTATCACAATCAACTACAGTGAACTTATTCGTGGTATTAGAGGTGAGGCACCAGGTTAATCGTATGGAGATTTCATTTTGGACTACTCCGGTGCCATTCTGATCATAACAGGCTCTTTCTATGTATTTTAGGACGTGCATTTTGCCCTCAAGGTTTATGTTTGAGTCTAGTAAGAATGGTTTGGGAGGATAGTATAGCGTGTCAATATTAAAAGTGACTAAGAAATTAAAGAAATGTTTAGGTAACAGCCTTTCCTTGTGTCAAAAGGGAAGGGAATACTCACATCATGTCCACAAAGTTCAGTTGGGCTTTGCTCTTTGGTAATTTGCTCGAGTAGGCAGAGTTGCTAGAAGGAATTGGGCTTGCAGCAAATATTTATTCAATCTATTGTGACTCTAATTATAATTCTTTATGTAGGGATGACAAAATTTCTCGCATCCAATTCATCCCATATTCCACCACCTGGGATGAGGTGGGGAATTCACTCCTGAATAGCAGCGCATAGATGGGGAACATGATCCCACCTAAATTCCCCAAACCCCCGAATCTTTTATTTTATTATATTATTTATATATTTTTCTACTGAACTCATATTTAAACAATAACTAAATTATAAAACGGTGATATTTCAATTTCACTGTGCCCCGTTGTCATCCCTAATCCTCCTAATCTGGTTTGCATTAGCCCTCGTTTGGCCCCCATTTTTTGAAATAAAAATGGGTGGAATAGTATTTTTTTAAAATGAGTGGTTAAAAAAGAAGGAAAAATTTTCGATTTACGTGTAATATTATTTTATGGAATATTATGTGGTTCAAAATAGAAAAGATAAAAATGAAATGTAATGTAATGGGAGCCAAAGGAGGACTAAGTAACAGACTCACGTCTGAGGAATTATAAAATTGAAAAGATGTCTGGTAGAATGGAATCTTCTGTAACTTTGCAAGTCTTCAAATAGTCAATTAACGTATAATCTTGACTAGAAAAGTCTCCTTTATGAAGTGTTTACAGGATCAATTCCTTCATCGACGAAAGCTATTTTGCATTAATGTATACTGTTTGTTTACGGCAATCTGATTTTACAGATTTGTTTATAAGATTCGATAGCCGATTTTGAATATATACAACAAAGATTCTTGATAATCATAATGATATGAATATAGATATATCATAAATGATTATTAATTAAAATGCGGACATGTTCATATGAAATCATTCTACAAGTACAAAATTTTTTGAAAGGAAAATTTTACAAACAACACATGGCGCGACATTATTGGAAGATGAAAAGAAAAGAAAAAAACAATCCACTTACATTTTGCTACGTTAGTATTCTACAACTTCTGTTAAAATTTTCCTATACTTATATTTTATTGATTCTTTTTCATTGACTGTATTCTAATGACAGAATTATAACCTAAAAATATGTTTTCTAGAATGGGTTCTTATGTCAGTTTGCTTTCGCCATTATTGACCAAAAATGTCGGTCAACATATTTTTTTATGCCTAACCTTAACGTGTCTATGAGGCCACATTGTGAAAAGCTACTGATGATGTAAGCATAATTTGATTTAAAGTAAATTAAGTTGACATATTGAAATATTTGATTAAATAGTCGGACATTTTTCTCGCTTAATAATTATCAAGTTCTTCTCTTTCATAAAAATAATTTCGTTTCTCATTTTTAGTAGCATGTTAAATTTGAAGTTTCTCATTTTCTTAAAATGTTTATTTTTTTTCTTATTTAATCAAGATAAGGGCACTGTTTTTAGTTTGAACAAAGTGAATCGTTGTTGAAATTATTTTAAGCACTGTTTGATATATATCAGACATTAAAGTTATTGCATTACTTACTCGTCCTAGAAAATTTAACTCCATGACCTAATCTAACTATCGAAGTTTCATTTATTGTACTCACAACTCAAGAAGTAGCAAAATTTCTTGCTAGAACGAATTCAAGAAAGAAGTAATTAATTGAAGTTGGTTAGCGAAATTGTGCATTGAAAAAAATGTAGGAAAGTTTCTAGTTGTCAAAAGTAAGTATAAAATAAAACACAAAATTGGGAGATGATAACAGTGTATCAACTACATTAATATTGCCAATCTTGCAAGTCCAATATTGTAATCTCATCCACATCCTTAGTTCACATATAAGGAAACTAACACAAGATAAAATCATAAATTAACTCGACAACTATAACGCCAATCTCGCCAATACTATATGATCTCACTCCTTATGCTACACACTATCTCCCACTAATATGATCCCTCATGCTATCATATCCAATAGCTGTGCTACTGCCCTCACCATTTGCAATTGCAAAGGCATTCATTTTCCTAGAAAGCAGGGATTCAGACTCTTCTTCAATGGGTTCTATTTGGTTCCACGATTGTTTTCCTGCTAATCTCAGACCTTCAAGTTCCATAGCTACTTCTTTCATACTAGATCTATCCTCCCCTTTAACATGTAAACACCTTTTCGCAAGCATAGCAACTGATGTTAACTTCTCACTATTTCCTTCACATACAATATTATCATCAAGAACTTGGAATAAGTTGCTTTGCTTCAATTTTGAGAGAAAATAGTTGGCTAAACATCTCTCCTCCTTTGGTCTATCATAACTCAATGCCATCTTCCCCATTAGTAACTCTACCAGGACTACTCCAAAGCTATAAACATCACTTTTTCCTGTCAATTGGTTTGTTTGCATGTATTCAGGATCTAAATATCCAAAAGTTCCTTGCACCACAGTAGATAATTGAGTTTGATCAATAGGAACCAATCTTGATGCTCCAAAATCAGAAACTTTGGCCGTGAAAGTAGTGTCTAAAAGAATATTTGTTGATTTGACATCTCTGTGTATGATTGGAGGAGAAGCCGCTGAATGCAAATACGCAAGCGCTCCAGCAGCCTCTGCAGCTACTCTTAACCGCATATCCCAACAAAAAGAACGTGCCTTTGCTTTGTTCTGTATATGTTCAAAGAGGGTGCCATTGTTGATGAATTCGTAAACTAAGAGAGGAGCTTGAGTTTCTAAACAACAACCAAGGAGCTTGACAACATTCCTGTGATTGATCTGGGAAAGAACAATCACTTCATTTATAAATTGCGCTACTTGGATTGCGTCAATTTCTTTCGACTTTTTTATGGCAACCATTCTATTATCTGATAAGAAGCCTTGGTATACAGTGCCAAAGCCTCCTTGACCAACAACTATATTATCATGGAAGTCATTTGTTGCCTTCTTGAGCTCAGTGAAAGTGAATATTTTTGCTCCATCTGGCGACAGTTCTCTTTGGGTAAGTTCTTCTTGCAACAATTGTCCACCATTTCGAAGAAAGAAAGTGTACCTCATCTTGACCAACTTTTTTTCCTGGAGTACGGAGCATAACAACCAGATAGCAAGCACAATAAAAGTGATTCCTAGAGAAATCCCTGTAATGTAAATTTTATGTTAGCTTCATTGCCACATTTCTTTTGTTAAACAAATGAGCGTGGAAGAAGTAGATAATGTAAATATCAATATTCTATATTGTTTTAGGTAATTTAGTATAAAAGGAACTATAACATTAAAAGCAATTACTCCTTTAGTAACATCTGGCAAAGAGGAAATTCAAGGTCAGCCCAATGACTAGCTAGAATTTTGTTGGAGGCTTGACGTTGAGATAAAATATATATATATAAAGCTACACACCTACTCACTTTTGGGTGGGTGGGGAAGGAAATTAGAATTGCTTATCTACACCCATGGAATAGTGGATCTAGTAACCTGTAGCAACTTCGAAGACAAGTGATTGACCATGGATGCAACCTTGTCCATCATTTTTACCATCTCCATGGTAGCCTTTAGGGCACACACACCTAAAACCCCCTGGTGTGTTCTCACATTTCTTCACACATTTATGGACGCTTTGATCCTTACATTCATCAATGTCTGCATAACAAATATAAGATTAATAAGAAGGAATAATGAAGTTAAAATCTTGTTTATTATATCGTGAACAATATGGTGTTAGATCATTTATGTACTTCAAGATAATATAGCCATACCTTTACAGCCGCGATCGTAATCGAGGTACGAATTTCCTTCATAACCTTTCTGGCAATAACAACGATACCCATAACCATTATCAGGTTCACAACAATAGGAATTCTCACTTTTACATGCATAACTGTAAATGTTATTTCGAGCCTCCTCACAAGTTCCTTCTCCAACTACCCAGTCAACCACCCTTGGAAGCTTTTTCACATTCCTCAAGTCGAAAAGACTACTTGCGGAGAAATTGAATGCACTTTCCTCAGCTAGAAAAGCATAGCCACAATTATTGAAGTCCGACACATTTGTGAAATTATCAAAGCTACCCAATGTCACATTAACTGTCCGCACCTGTTTTGGGATAGGTATATGGCAACAGCCTAAACCAGAGCATGAGCCATTGACTAGATCATCCTTCTTGTCACATAGGGAAATACACCCTATCTGATATTTCCGATTCTCCAGGCGCCCAAATACATAAGCATAAGTATCACAACCAACGACAACGAACTTATTGGCAATATTATTGACCATGAATCTAAAGGGCACTCTTGAAGAGGTACTTCGATATGACACTCTGATGCCATCCGGAGAATAACAGTCTCTTGCTATGAATTGCAAAACACGCAATTGGCCCTCCAGGGTTATGCTTGTGATATTTATGCATGTGTCCGTCCAGAATAGTTCTGGTGGATCATAGTGGGTGTCATTACAAGTGACTAAGAATGATTTGTTAAAGTAACAGCCTTCGCTCATGCCGAAAGGGAAGGGAATACTTATATTTCCAGAACGATCCATACAGTTTGGCTTTGCTATTTCGAAATTTGCTTGAGTAGAAACAGATAAAAGCAGAATTGACGCAAGTAGTTTGGCTTGCAGCAAATGCAAATGCAATCCCATGGTTCTTTTGTAGTCTAACCGAACTCCAACCCACGAACTATATAAACACGTTTGCTCGTATAGATTTCCAAAGCCACAAACATCTTATCTTGACTAGAAAAGTCTCCTCTTGAAGTGTTTAGAGGGGCAATGTTTTAATTGTCGAAAATTACGTTGCATTGCCATAAAATTTCTTTGATTGACTCGTTTGTGTTTTATCCGCTAACTAATTTTGAATAATATACACTAAAGATTTCTGCATGTGGTTAAGATTTATCGCTTGCATTATCTCTTCTATAATTTACAATTTTTATCCTAGTTTCTTGTCAACAACTCAGTACTTCGTAGTGCATGAACAAATCCTTACATGACTCAGCAAGTCGACCGGACGAAACACAACAATATTGAGGAAAAGGTGCATTGCTTTATAACTATAAAGCAATGAGTGGGACATGCAGTACTCTATACGAATTCATTGTGTATTATGGGATTGCTAATATGACAAAGCCTCTTGTAAAAGTTTAAGCAATTTTGATAAAAAAAAAAAAAAAAAAAAAAAAAATTGGTATAATGAGTGGTTGAAAAGTTAATAAAATTATAGATTTTATGAAAACCCTGTTTGTTAGAAATTAAAATTTAGATTTTAATGTAATCCCTTGTTTGAGCCCCATTTTTTGAGGGGGAAACAAGGAATTCTTTAATTGTATTTTGACTTTATTTCAACCATACATTCTTCAATAAAATATTATTATACGTAAATTGAAAAAAATTTCTTATTTTTAAACCACACATTTTTCATCAATATACTATTTAAAAATTCATTTTTTGACAAAAATGGGCTCAAACAAGGGTTAAGTAAAAGTCAACAACTAATTTTAATCACACATTTTATAAGACCCACTACTTTTCAATCACACATTTCATCAACATGTATCAAAATCTACTAAAATTTTGATTTTAATCCTCATCAAATTAGAGTGAAATATGTGATTAAAATTTAAACTTGATCGGTTCAAAATTTAATTAAAAAAATTAGAAAATTCTTATCACCATTAATGCCTTCTCCTATTTATTTAATCTATTTAATTATGAGAATGACATTTGCTAGACTTTCCTGGGTCATATGATTAGGACCGCTTCTTCAAATAACTAAAAAACCAAAAGATGCTTCCTATACCAAACATTCAAGGACTTGACTCTCGTCGTGTGGAATTGTAATCTATAATATATTAATTATTATATTAAGTGAGAATTAATTTTTGGACAATTTTAGTCATACTATAATTCAATTTTTTCGTTAATACATTACTTTTCGTTTTTGCAATATATATTTAATATTCAGTTAAATTCCTCTATTTATGTGCATGTATAATAATTAATGTTTACGCTAAGGGATTTGCGTTTCTCTCATATTTATATCAAAATTGGGAAAATTAGTTCATCAAGTTTATGTACACTTAGAGATGTAAACGAGTCGGGCCGAGCCGACTCGCGAGCCTAAAAGTTCGGCTCGAGCTCGGCCCGGTTAAAATGACCGAGCTTTTTTGCGGGCTTGAGCCCTCGGTCAAAAAAAAAAAAAGAGGCTCGGCCCGAGATTTTGCTCGGGCTTTTTTCGGGCCAAGCCGGGAAGGCCCGTTTTCTCCCCCCCTTTTTTTTCCCCAAGCTGCTGCCTTCAAGCCTACCTCATTTTAATTTTAATTTTTTTTTAAAAAAAGCTCGCGAGCGCACGAGCCGGCTTGGGCAAAGCCTGTGTCCCCAAAATGGGGCTCGGCCCGAGCCTAGGCTCGGGTCTACTGAGCCCCGAGCCGGCGAGTTCGATTGCCATCTCTATGTACACTTGGCTATTCAATTACTCTAGAAGTACATAAATTATTTATTTTCATGTACACTCATTTATTTTCATGTTTATTCATTTAATCTATGATATAAATTTATGCTCGAGGTTTACGTACACACTCTTTTGTCTAAACTAATTTTCAAGATCACGTATATATAAATAAATTTTGAATAATACTTTATTTTTTCGTTTTTCAATAGGTATTTAACATTCAATTAAGCATTTCACTATTTATTTACATGCATGTCTATTAATTAACGTTTATTTCCAGGGACTTGCATTTCTCTCATATTTAAATTAAAACAGTGCAAATTAATTTTTCAAATTCATGTACATTAACTTTTACAGTACTTAAAAAGAAATTCAAAATAACGTGCAATATACATTTACCTCTTATTAGTCTTCATAAAAAGGACAAAAAGTATTATCACGACTTGACATAAGTGGTAGTGCCCACAGCAAAAATGAATGTTGTCTATGTCACGGAGTTGGAATATTTTACTGGCTTTATAAAAGACTAGTCGTTGTCACGTGCGTTGTACGATTTTTATATTTATTGTATTTTTATTACTATCAAAGTTGTAGTTTTTTTCAAAACTTGTTAAAGATTCGAAGTGTTTAGTAAAGTCCGATTGTTTGCTTCATTGCAATTAAAAGACTTTTATAATAACTTTTTTTTTGTTTTTATTTTCGCATGTAATTTTTTTCTTTAATTTGTTAAACCATTTAGTTTTTTTATTCATGTTGGTGTAAAATGATAGTTACAATTAAGTTCACTTATTTTTTTGAGATTATGCTTTCTCCAGTTATTTCTTGTACAATGTTCTAACATTTGAATTTTTGCGAGATGGAATACCTTTTAAATGTGGAGTTGAGAAGGATAATTCTCGATTTTAGTCATTATCTTGATTTTTTTTTTATTTTTGGAAAAAAAATTCATCTCAAATAATAAAATAAGGAGTGAATATAACATACATTGTTCAAGATTTAATTATTATTAATTAAATAATTAATATTTTTTATAATTATATATAAGATATATCAGTCATTTATCATATTAATAGAATAAATGGGCCATTTTGCAATTCAACATAGGGAAACGATATAATGTAAATGTAGGGAAAAAGGGATAAAAATGAAATGAAACATAAAATAAAAAAAAATTATTATAAAGTTTTTTAATTAAATTAAAATAATTAAAACTTAAAAATAAATATTATTGAATTACAATTGAAAAAATTGCATTTTCTCATAAAACAAAAAGAACTAAAATGAATTTTAAATCGAACAATTTTTTTTTTATAATATGAAGAAAAAATAAATTTTAAAACAATTTAAAAAAATAATAAAAAAAAGAAAGTGATCAAAATTAAATAAAGAATATATAAATATTATTTAGTTAAATTAAAAAAATTAAGTTTTATAATGAAGAGAAAAGAATTAAGAAGAATTTTAAATTAAAAAATTATTTATAATGTAAACAAAACAAATAAAAGAAAGAAAAAAGGAAAAGAAATTCTCTCCGAAGAGATTTCTCTCCATTTACACTGATTTATTTCCATCCACACACATTCAAATGTATGGGATGGACTCTCCATCCCACATTATTATTATTATTATTATTATTATTATTATTATTATTATTATTATTATTATTATAGATGGTTTTTTTCTATTTAAAAAAAATTCTTTTAATTCTTTTCTATTTACGATAAAACTTAATTTTTTAATTTTAATTAAACAATATTTATATATTCTTTATTTAATTTTCGAAACTTTCTTTTATTTCTTTTTTATTATTTTTTTAAATTGTTTTAAAAATTCTTTTTTTGTTAAATTATATGTAATATTTTGTTCGATTTTTAAAATTCTTTTTAATTCTTTTTGTTTTTACGATAAAATGTAATTTTTTCAATTTTAATTAAATAATATTTATTTTTAATTTTAATTACTTAAATTTAATTTAAAAACTTTATAATAACTTTTTTTATTTCTTTTTATTTTTTCCTGTATTTTTTTTGTTATTGAATGTGTTAAATCATTTAGTTTCTTTTCTTTATCAGTTAGATTAGATGATGTGAAGCAGTGCGTGAAAATTGAGAAATATTGTAATGGAATTGATGGTTACAGTGAAATGATGTGTGGAAATAGAGAAATGATTGAAGACAAACGTTGTTTTTGCTCCGAAAATAAAAATAATGTCACTAAATGAAAGAATCTACAGTTGCCTCAGTAACAAACAAAGATGAAACAAGAACAGGAGCACTTTCTTCAAGCACTCTCTGCAGGATACTGAGCAGTTCTTCAGGAGATTTTGGCCCCTCAACCTGCACAATTAAAGCAGGCCAGGGAAACAAGTCAATTTTATAATTAGGATAATATAACTGTGTGTAATAGAATAAAGTTTTTTAGGTTCCAAATGACTTGAGATATCTCCCCTTTCCTTTATTTTTTTTTTCCATAATTTCTAACACAAGATATACGTACAAATATATGAGACAAATGTATATAATAAAATTAGACAACATAGAATGTCTAAGCAGTGACAAATTTTCATCCTCTTAAATTAGACAACACAGAATAAAGGATTAAATTAGTTGATCAGCTTTTAACCAATTTTCCCATCATGGACAGTGACATTTGAGTTCCATGACAAATCTTTTAAAAGTTTGATTTTATTGAACACCCTCATCAAGAATAATCTTCAGTTCAAAACACACCAATAAGCATGAGGAATATCCCTGAACTACACCTTACAAATGATTAGTGCAAAATATATAATCAGGTTAACAAAAATATGAACAGGCATATATTGATTGATGCCAGATGAATAAGATGAATGCTGACAGAATGTAGTAAAACCTCATGCCTCAAATTCAAACTTATTCTATAAATCAACAAACAAACAATTTGGAACAAACTTCATCTAAAGACTAAGAAATCAATCCATGAGAATATACAAGTGGAGATAGGACGACAACTTCAGGAATGCCTAACAACTCCTCTTCCAAAAGGGTCCAGAAGATGCAGTAAAGGAATAATTTAAACGATAACGATGTAGCTATAAGTCTTCAGACACTCTGCAATGCAAACACGATAGCTGGCATCCTCACAGGCTTCTTGCACATGAAACACCAACTTATCCAAATCCTTTTACTCCAAAGACTATCAGCACAAAGAATGCATCCTAAAGGCTAGAAGCATTCCAGGTGCAGAAAGAGGCTTACTTCAAAGATTTTCTGTTTTAAATTACTTTCCAAGAAAAGAATTGTCACACACCCACTTATACATATCCCTTTTCTCCTTCAAAAGACCATCAGCAGTAACAATTTCTCTCTAGAAATCAACGTGCTATGATTTTTGATAACAATTTTTCCTTTTACTGCATCATGGGAATGTGAATGAAAATGAATGTGTTGCATGCTTTTGTTTTTGTAAACAAAATTTTGGTTTTATAGAACCAGACCTGAACTGGATGGTACAGGTCCATGTCAGTTCCACCCTTACATGGAACTGTTCCATGAATAAAATTCTCATTTTCAATTGGTACAATCTGAGCCCACCACCAATCGTCCTTTCAGAACCCACTAAAATATAAAATAAGTGCATCACAGTTACAAGCAAAGCATGAAACATTTGCAACATTCTAAAAATTTGCAAAAACATCACAGTGTGTCATCGTCATTGCTGCCAATCTTTGAAGTCGTAAACCAAATAGTAAGTTAACTGTCATATTAGACATGTCATATCTCATACCTTCCAACAATAACGTGGATCGACATCAATTCCAAAAAGCCGAAAGCAGTTACTGAAAAAAGAAGGCAAGAAATGACTCCAGCACTTGATTTATCTTTGCTGCAAGGAAGACTGGCAAATTTCATCAATTGTATTTAAAGTTTGAGCCATTGGTTCTTTATGTTGGCGATTGTTCACTTTGGAGATGCCTCTCAGTGCTACACGAAAAGGCATTGTTAAAAAAACATGATTTTCCTAAATTAATATTGGCAACATATTAATACAATTATATTAGCTATTTAATATAATGGGCAAAAATCAAGTGGTCTATTTTTTTGTCTGTCCATAGACTACTCAAATTAATATGGACTAAGTGAGTAGATACCAGCTAATATTACTCTAATTAAGGGATAATGGGAACCTTAATTAAGTAGTATATAAAGGTTATTTTGGTTATGGTCCCCAATATACCAAATCATACACTCTTTTCCCTTCTCCCCATCAAAAAGAGAAATCACGGTCCCATTGAGGAATAAGGAGATTTGGTTGAGGAAGATCACAAAAACCACCCTCTTCATTTGCATTCATCGGTACGTAGTCGATTGTCGCAGTAATTCCACAATAGTAGGCAATCGTTTACAATGGATACAGGTATATTATGTGAATCTGTGAATCCTAGTAATTTAGCATGATGTTGATCCTAGGATTTAATTTATATTTGGATCTAATTTGATTTTCTAACAAGTGGTATCAGAGCGGTCATCATTTGCTAGATTATTAGGATTTGTGCATATTCTATTCGTATGATATTTGGATTATTTTTCTCGAATAGAATGTTTGAATTTTGTGAAATTCCTTAAACTGTTAAGTTTAAGAATTATTCTTGATGCATTCGGCAAAATCGGATCTTGAAATTTTTGGCACAATTAGTATTGATTTTAAATTCTGTCTGTGTCCATTTTAAGGCTTTTTTTTTTGGGATCTGAATTTCATCTGCCTTTTAGACATCTGCAATTTCGGATCATTTTATAATGAATTTCAATTGCATCAAGAGCAAGTCAGCAATTTTGGACTGTTTATAATGGAAACATCACTTTTGGTAGCGTGTAGATCACTCTCAAAATCTGTGACCTTCATTATGGATCCAGAAATCAGAATTTCAACTGCATGA